AGGATCAACCAGGTAGCAGCAAATGTTATAGACTTGCTTCATATTCAGGTAATTGTTGGCGACAATTAACCAGAATATTCAGCTGTCAAACATTGCTTGTGTTGTTGCTATAACAACACGACATGACGATGATTGCATCGCACATCACTGCTTAGGTGGAAAGCTTAGCATACATCGATCATGCCAAAAATCGTACAAAGTACGATCAAAACCCGTAATCTTTCGATTTCAGGCATTTTCGTCGATCTTCTTCAGCTTGTTGCAATGAACGACTGGCTGTTCCACTATTTAATCCGTACATTTAAGCACGAAAAGCGAAAACAAGCCAAGTTCTGGATCCATCCAAAACGACCACATAACCACGAATCCGATATACGACCAACGGAGCAGCTCCAAGTTGACGGGAATCTTCAGCAGTTGAGCATTTCAGTCCATACCTTAAAGATTAAGGGGAGACCCAGAAATGCACGGCGCTGATTTGAGGTCTAATACCATATTAATGCCATTAGAATATGGGATCAGAACCTCAAACGCCAAGACTCAAGCGAAAAACCGAAGCTTCTCGCTCAAGCCCTACGCATTGAAGCGCGTTAACCAATTTGAATGTGTGAGACACCACGATTTCTCCGGTTAAGGGTACTACTGTGATAAGGCAAGCGTCAAAATGGAGAAAGCGCTTTGCCAAGCCGAAAAACTCAAATTGCAACTGAGCACTGACAACACAGCGCTACCAAGTTACAATCTTCGCTTGTGTATCAACTTTGTCAAATCGTCGATTTCTTTCGAACGATCGTCTCGCCACAAATATATCAAACCTTGACCACGATTCATAGTATAAGAAAAATGAGCATTGCATCAACTACAAAACACGGGATATTTAGTAGTAGTTGATCGTAAAGTGAGAAAAAATTACGAAGATAAGTGGGATAAAACAAATTGAAATCCATGGTAACAATCATTTAGTTGCTACATAGTGAAATCTGGATGGCTACAATCGTGTTTAACTTCGAAATATAATATTGCCGCGATACAACACACACACATACTTTCCTAACAGACGATATGAGATTTATAAAAGAGATACATGCAATATATTCATTGCAATTCTGTTTGCGTTTTATCGTCAGAAAAATTATCAACACATTTTAGCCACAGATAATATGATCAAACCATGTACAAGATTTTCCGAACGATAAAAAAACTTTATCATAAATACGAAAAAAAAAATTCATTCATCCAGCACTGTTCAATGATGTCTTATTATCATTGTGCATTCGATGTCTCATACTGTTCAAGACGGAGAATGTTATTTTGATTGTTATTAAAACATCTTCTATTTGTATTATATTATGATGTGATTATATTGATTAGAAATTGATTCGCTAAATAAAAGTGAAAATATCCTAGAGTTTCATTGATCCAATCTACAATGTGTAAAATATGTCTATACAATCCATTGGTCGGAAATCATCACATAACATAACATGAATTTTATATTCAATTGAATCATATAAAAAAAAGAGTTTGCGCATTCATAGTATTCGATTCATAATGTTCAATTTGGAATAATAAATCTCAACAACTACACATACATACACAAGTCATTATCTATATATATGAAAAACAGTCTAAGAATAGCCAAAATCAGATAAGATGTCAAAAATAGCCATAATTCAGACAACAACAACAATATTCGATTGCATTCATTCATATGTGATCTTTTCAACAACAACAACAACAAAAAAAAAACGCTACCATCTGCCAATGTGTATGCGTATACATATGTAATGTAATGATAATGATCATCATAAAATATTAAATAATAAAGAATAATTGCGTTCATTCAAATAGAATCAATTGATTCGATGTGAATTGGTGATGAAAATACTTTTTTTTCCCATACATGATCATTGATGATGGAATTTTTTTTCATTTATTTGTAGATCATCATCAATGACAAACAAATGACACATCATCATCATCATCATCGTCATCAGCATTATATATTATGATTAATTTAGTAGTAGTGAAGAGAAGAGAAATCAATTGTTTTTTATTCTACATAAATTGACTACAATAAAACAACGATTCTCATTCTAAATCATTTCAAATGAGAAATTTTGGTTGATTTTTTTTTAATAATAAAATTCATAATATATTCGTATTCGTACAACAGTATTTTTTTTTTTTTTTTATATTTAATGAAAATTTTTTCCTGTTTGTTGTTCATAAATGGGTGTGTGTGTGATGAATTGTGTTTTGTTTATATATATTGTTGTTAATAATGTGAATGTTTTTATTTATCGTTCGTTAAGATGATTATTACTTGACCACCAGTTGTATGAATTTGATTTAAATGATAGAGATTTGTTTGTTTTGTGCCTACGTCATAGATAGATGCGTAATATATTTTATTTGATGATGTGTAATGTCTCTCTCTCTGTGTGTGTGTGTGTGTGTGTGTATGTCTTAGTCTAAACTAAGAATTTTTTTTCCGAATTCTTGCCGAAACATTCACAATCAAATGATGACAATTTATTTTTCTTTGTACTGAAATCATCATTGATTACAATGAAATGAAAAATCTGCGCTCTGATAAATTTTAATTAATTTTATTCCAAAAAAAAAGAATCATCATCATTACAATCTTATATTATGGATCATCGTTCAATGACAACAAAGACGACAACGGCGACGACTACAACGATAACAACAACAAACACAACAAATACAATGCCATTGGAAGCACTTGAATATCCATATCAAGTATTTCTCATAACTCTTTATTCATTAACAGCTTTATTTGCATTCATATCAAATTTTTTGACCATTATTGTCATGATAAATGGTAAACGTTGTATTGGTGGTGATATGAGAAAATTCATTATCAATCTATCTATTACCGATTTATTGATGGCCATTTTTACCATACCATTCACATATACAAATTATATGCTTGGAAGATGGATATTCATAGCGATAATGTGTCCAATAGTTAATTGTGCACAATTGACAACAATTACTGTTAGCATCTATACATTGGTTGCTATTGCTATTGATCGGTAAGTTTTTTTTTTTAAAAAAATCAACCAGAATATTCTTGTTCAAGAAGCAATAATGCATGTGTAATTAATTCACTAAAAAACGAACATAAAAATCTAGATAAATATGAAAAAAGAGTAAATGAATTTTTTTTCCTCATCTTTTTATTCTTTTAATTTCATTCAACCATTCTCATTTATTTCTAAAGAATATCACCATAAAAATCAAGAATATATAATAATCACATTATAACAGCAGCTAAGAATATCAAAGAATATCACCATAAATTGCCTATATTTTTGATTGAATTCTTTCAATAACGCATTTTCATTTTTTATGTTGTCCTCGATGTTTTTTCATGTCACATGAACTTGATACTTTCGAGTCTCTAGAGGTCAAAGGGCAAAATTGTCACTCCTAGCAGCGATGAGTGCTAAAATGACTCTTTTTCTCTCAGCTTTTTTCCCACATAAAACCACCAAAAATCGGTCATGATCAAGAAAGAATATATAATAATCACATTATAACAGCAGCCATGCAGAATTGATTCTTTTATTTTATGTTGTCCTCGATGTTTTTTGTTGCTCTCTCTTAGCTTTTTGGTCATGATTGCTTTCCCTTAGGAACATTATTTGTAATTGAATTTTATATCTGTAAATTTATTTGTTTAATTTTTTACTGAGAAAAAATTATTTGAATTTTTTTTTCTCGAATGTGAAATTCTGATGGATCAAATAGTGTAGTGTAGTGATTTTTGAAGACGAGGCTATCTATAAAAGGATGTATGAATTTACAACAACAGCAACAACAACAACAACAATTCCCATGATAAACATTTGACTTTGTGTATGAGCGTAAATTTGTCACATTAATTAAATGTCAAGAACATTACATTTTCATCATCAAATCATTTGCATCATTGTGTGCATTTCAATAGTAGTGATAAATAATTTGAATTTTGAAAATTTATTCATTTACGAAATTAAGTTTTTTTTTCTTGCTAACTAGCTCTATATTGGAGAGAGGTACGCGGCGTCAAGTCGACATTAAAAAATTTAATTTTTCATGGTTGTTGTTGTTGTTGTTGTTATTGTTGTTATGAATCATTTTTCTATGAACCAGTATAAACTGGATGATAAGGTGGAGAAAAAATTATTGAAAAAAAAAATTTAGTCAAGTTGAAAATCAATAATAAACAAACACACACATTTAGAGCATTGAAAATCATCATCAATATTCTGTCTCTACACATTTTGAATGAATTTACATTCATTTTAATGGTCATCATTTACAGTGTTGAATATATAGATCGTGATTGATGTTCCACATATGTTTAATCATTGAAATTCATGTAACAATGTTTGTTTGTCACATTCACTCACACACACACACATAAAACAATCTTTTATCATGAAAATGGGGTACATAAATAATGCTGATAAAGAATAACAATGATTCTAATCTTTACTAAAATAATCCCTTTGTATATTTTTTTTTTTCATTGTTTTTTTTTCGTCTATTCCTCGACACATAAATTCTGTGATTCTCATCATCATCAACATCATCATCGTGATAATGAATGGATGCTTGATAATAAAATCAAATAAATAAATAAAAGTTATATGGCTATTATGTATCCATTACGTAAATCAATTTCCTGGTTTAAACGACATCGAACATTTATTGTCATTTTAATTTGGATTTTCGGTATTTGTCTTGGAATTTCACAAATTTTTGTCACTGAAACAGATACATTTGAACATAATGGCCATAAATATATATCTTGTGATGAACGTTGGAAACCGGAAAGTATTGAAGGCCGTCTATATACAATATTTATATTTGCAACAACATTTGCCATACCAATGTCAGCATTTTGTATTATCTATACGGCAATGGGTTGGAAAATATTTCGATATCAAGGACCTGAATATCAATTACGTTTACAAAGTCTTCATAATCATTTTCATCATCAAAATAATAATGAAATTCAAAAAAAGATATATAATAATGACGACGATGTTGTTGATGTTGATGATGATTTGACCAAAAGAATTGGCCACATTGATTATCATTGTGATGATAATAATATTATCAACAACAACAACAACAACAACAACAATAATGATGATATGATAAAAAACAAAAATGACATAGATACAAATGGTAAGTCAAAACCAATAAATACGAATAAATTGAATGAATTTCAATTTTGTTTCATTTTACAGCAATTGATTCCGATGCTAATATTTGTTTGAAATCTTGTAATAATAAAAACAATAATAATATTGTTCCATCATCAAATCATCATCTAATACAATGTGTTTATTATGAGACGAAAAATCAATCATTATATACAACAGAATCAATACAGACAAAATATTGTATCAATAATAACAACAATAAATTTAGCAATTTAAATGGCCATAATAATAATAATAATCATCATCATTATTATCAATTATCAAATCATCATCCACAAACAATAATGACAACACCACATATTGCTGCAACGCAAATAAATTCCAATAAAATTATGGATCCAGTTAATCATCGTTCAACAAGATTTATTAGTAATCGTCGCCATAAGGTTAGTAATGATTGATTCATTTTTCTTTCTTCAACTTTTTTTCATATATGTGATGTATTGTTTTTCCAACCACTCATCCCTTGTTTTTATGTACATGTGAATCGAAATCGTAGATATTGAAGATTCTCATTACGATAATTGGTGTATTTACCATCTGTTGGCTACCAATACAATTATTCAACATACTTATCTATTTTAAAAGAAATTTTCTTCATGTTGATTCAGCATTCAAATATTATGCATTTGTTGGTAGTTATTTTTTCTGTCATTGGATATCAATGGCACATAGTTTTATGAATCCAATTATCTATTCATTTATGAGTAAAAATTTTCGAGTAAGTAGAATGGCATATTATAATTGTTGAAAATTTTATATTCATTTTTTCAAAAAAATTCAAAACTTTTAACCACTTAACATGAACTAATTTTGTTTGTTTTTTCTATTTTTATTCCATGTACCAATGAAACCGAAAAAAAACCACAGTCAGATTTGCGGATAATTTTAACAAAATTTTGGAATAATTGGAAAAAATACAACCATCGTTAATGAACCAACATAATATAAAGAATTAACAAATCAATGGATTACACTCATAATTCAATCGTATTTTTTTTGTCAATAAATAAATGGATAATTCTTTTTTAAAATGACTGAGTAATAATAAATGGATGTCAATTAAATTAATTAATAAATTAATGACGAAACTTATTATTTGTTGGAACATTTTGGAACAGGATATGTTGAATTATACTGCCATCTGACGAACAAAATAACAACTATTATATTACAAAATTGATGATGAGATAGGTAATAGGTAATAAAGATGTTTAATAGTGTATGGATAGATGGCAGTGTTTGACAACTCACTTGTTGCAAAATGATTCATGATTTCTGTAACTGAAGAGGTCCCTATGTCCCATTTTTGTCAATCGAATATTCCATCGACCCGAATAAATTGATGTGAAAATAAATGAATTTAAAGTATTGAAAGTACAAAGGGCGTTCGCATCTATATATAGAAAGATTCCTAATTATCGATGTGTGTTTTAGTTTGGTGGGTTAATATACGGTATCGATCGGGCAAAAGTCACGTAGCCATTGAAGCAGTGGTAGAATACTCATATACGAGTATGGTATGTTCGCGCGCGTAAAATTTTCACACTATAACCTCAATATATACACACACATGAATTCATGGTTGACCGGACCTAAACAATACGAAAAAAAAGGTCAAAATCATCATCGGTAGATGGTAGTGCTGTATTTTTTAATTTTAATTTTTATATTCAATATATCAACTACCTTTTCATACACACCTCCTACCATTGTATACCATCCATCCATGTCATATACACTATAACCTTTGACCAACACATGAATACCACTACCACCAAAAAAAAAAAAAAAAATCTATTCAGGAAAAGTTATTTAAATTGCACACAGACACACAAAAAACACCAATTGTTTTGTTTGTTACTCGTGCATGTGTATTATATGTGCACATTAAACACGAGAACTTTGGTCTCTCATTTTGGTTTTTGTCGAATATCAATTGAATTTTAAGGATGGTTTAATCTTTTATAATGAGCATGCGTAATATTTTTTTTTTTTTTTTAAATACTCTCATCTTTTAGCCATGGTTTTTTCGGTTGTTATTATTGTTGTTGTTGTTGTTGTTGAATGCTTTCGCTACATCCGGAGGAATAGCCGTATTATGGGGTCGTCGCACACACACACACACACTACTTGCTTTCAATGTGTACCGTGTGTATAATAACATCTATAATGCCGCTACCTGTAGATATAAATACTAATTTTTGCTCATTCTTTTGACAAAAAATATCATTATCGTTACTATTGAGAATACAGTATATGCACGACAAACGGTTTATCGATTCTTTTTTTTGATGCAATTTCAATTCCATGAGATAATAAAATTCCTTTCTGGAGCAGGTAATTTTTTGTTTTACATAAAACAAATCAATACAATGTCAATGTCAATTAAATATGCACATTAGCACTATTGAATTTTCTGTTGAATCATTTCATTTTATGAAAATGGTTTGTGTTCAAAATTAAATAAAATCCATATGGTTTCAGATATAGATTGAAATCAATGATTAGTGTAGTAATTCATCAGTTTCATAAATGACAGGAAATCGGTCGATATACTGTATATACAATGCACACTTTTTTTTCGTTTAATCATGAAAACCATCATCAAACTTTATTTGATGATGATGACTTCTATAACCATTTGGCCTAGCCTATGGCCTGGTCATTATGTTCTGTTCATAACTAAGCATGAAGTGCCTCACTATCGCGGTATTATAATAATATCAATATATATGCACACCAAGTTCTTAGCATGCTAAAACACAAAAATTTTATTTACCATGACATGCTGAGTCTGGTTTCTTGTTTCTGGTACCACGACGACAACCAAACGAAAAAAAAACGACATACAATAAAAACTCGCGGTTATTATTATCATTCGGGTTAACCACTACCATTATTGTCGTCTTCTATGTGCGTGTGTTTTTATTTTATTTTATGTGTGTGTTGTACACACAGCTCAGTTTAAAAATCAATGGGAAAAAAGAAAAATTGAAACGAATCCGAATATCGAATTTTTTTTGGTGTTTTTCTTTCACGTTCCTCTTTTCATTATCGTTTTCGTTTGTTTTATCGGGTAGTTTTTTTTCTGGTTAAAACACCGATTTCCATCCTCACGGCTTGTTTGTTTGTTTGTGTGTGTGTGTGTGTGTGTGTGTGATGGGAATTCGGGTTGGTAATCATCTTTGGTCTCGTGGTATTTTTGTGGGTGTATGTATGTGTGGTGTTGAATCTATCAAAATTATTCACTAGGTTTCTATGTGTTGATACACATCCATATTATGATTGAATTAAAACTGCCATCAACAGAAACAAAACAAAAAAAAACATTCCAACAACGATGATGAAATGAAACGCCCAATCACATTAAATGTGTTCTGTCATCATTGAACATCTCTTGATTATCATCTTTTTGAACATCAAGTGGCTGATGTAATTATCAAAAATGGCAAATGAAATGAGGTAATGTTTTTCATTGTTTTGATATATATTTCGATATAATGTTCGAAAATGTAAATGTAAATGGCCGAAAAATCTAGGAAATTCTAGGAATTTTTTTCTGACATTTTGTATTTTTTTTTTCATTTATATTTAGCTACATTCAATATATGGCTTGAAATTGGAACTTTCAATCATCAAAAAACAAAACAACAAAAAAATCACTGTCATAACCAGTTAATGGGCGTTTATAAACAAAAAATTTTGTTGTTTTCTTTTAATCGAAATCCACAAAAAAACAAGCAAGAGGAAAAAAAATCCTCATAATCATATCATCATCGTAAATGACAATCATTTCGCCATCATTGCCTGTCAATTTTTATTATTATCTCATAAGAATCATGATCAACAGATATTCAAGAGAAATACACGTTCTGCAATTTGGCCATCAAATCTAAAATCCATCCATTTTATTTTCTGGCCTATCAATCAATTCATTCATTATATAGATTTATCATTTATTGATTTTCTCATTTTATTCTATTGTTATCATTTATTTCAATAATTTTTTTTCGTGGAAAAAAAATTATATGAATGAAAGAAAGGACAAATTTCATCTGTATTACATCCGATTTCATTGAATCATATCATCAGCATCTTTATTTAATTTTTTTTTCTCTCTGTTCAATTTGATTGTTGATTGATTATGTGACAAAATGTCTTTGATGATATCATCATTGCAACAGCAACGACAACATTCATCATCATCATCAATATCATCAACTGTTGTTGAAACTAAATCAAACATAAATTTGACCAATGGCATTAATCAACGATCGATAATAAATCGATCAAAAATTGAAGCAATTGATGATGATGATGATGATGTTATTTTTGTCGAACGTATAAAGAAAAATATCCCGTTAATTATTTTGGATGATGATGATGATATTGCTGATCAAGAAAGCAAAAAAACAACGATAAAAAGACAAAAAATTAGCCATCAAAATAATATTCTCAATGTAAACACCGATTTGATCAAACCAGATAATCAAATCGAAGTCAACTTGAATGATGATGATGGCAAACAACATCCCGTTCAAAGGTAGGATTATTTCTTCTTGTTTTTTTATAAGGGAATTTTTTTTGTTTTTTTATAAATCTTATAAATTGACAATATTAATTGTCATCAGTGGTGGTCAGTTGAGAAACTTGTTTATTCTGGTTAGATAGTTGAATATTTTCATTTTTATTGTTTTTCTGTTGAAGTTAAAATGATGGTGACACATACCCTTTTGCTCATCCATTGCTCACACAATCCGAATCCGAAATTGGTGAACATTGGCATTTAGTTTGGTATTTTTTTTTTTTTTTTTTTTTGATGCACTTTTCCGGTTTATTACTTGGAAAAAAATCTTAATATATTTAAGTGGTTTTTATACGGCTTTTATGTCGGTATGAGGTAGATTTTGTTTTTGTTTTTCATTTAAAATACCTATGATAAATGAAATGAAATGATGATAATATCATTTGGTGGCGACAACGTCGTCGTTGTCGTCGGCAAAAATTATGTTGTTGATGATTAAAATTTTGTTGTCGTCTTGGTCGTCGTCGCCATAAGTCTGCATTAGCTTGTCGTTCTATTATCTGCGTAATAGTGAAATGTGTGTGTGTGTGTAATAGGTCTATTGTCGACGATATAGACGAAAATTGTCATCAAACTGTGAGTAATCGAAACGCAATATCTTTAAAAATAAATCCATTAAAGCGGAAATAATTCTTATATATATGAATTCCGTTGATGACTAACTAGCAAAGAATAAAATCAGCTATTGTGAAACACTCACACTCACGTGTGTGCATTGCTTAAAGAATCCATATTCATTCATTCAAAATTTATCAATGAAACGTTTTTGTGTTTTGAATTTTTATAGGAATTTTCAGTTTGGCGCCAGAAATTTTATTTGAAATTTTCATTGTATACCATGTGTGTGTGTGTGTGTGTGTGTGTGTTAAAAGATATGATGCTTTATTGAAATCGTCTGCTTTATTGTGTGTGTGTGTGTATGTATGTATGTTATGGTTAGAATGTGAATGGATTATGTATGGAAAAAAATAAATTTAAAAGGAGAAAGAAACATAATCAAAACCTTAATAATCAACAAGTGAACAAAAAAAATCATATGTATCATATTGGCTATATGTAAACTGGATGGACGGTTGTTTTCTTCTCACTAATAATTTTTTTTTTTTTTTCGTTTTCGATCATCAAACTATGAATGATGATAGAAATAATGATTATTGAATGAAGAATTTCTGTTTCAGGTTGTTGGCCGAAATTCACTACTATTCGTTTATTGATTGTGATTTAATAGTTCTGATCCGGTTTTTTTTCAACCACTTCTTTCTTCTGTGTCGATTGATTTTTTTTTTTTTTTTTTTGATATAATTTTGTGTACGCATGTGAGAATGGATTCGTGCAGATGAAAAAGAAGAAAAAATGAAATAAAATTTAAATACAGGTACGTGTGTGTGTGTGTGCGTGTGTGTGATGTATATATTCTTGTTCCTATTTATTATTAGTGAATTTTATTGGAAGTCAAAATTTTAAGAAAAAAAGTTTTTCTACTACTCCAATCATCATCATTTTTCCTTTTATTATTTTTTTTCTTATTCGAAAAAAATGATTCTAAATTGTTATGATAATGACGATAGTTATGCGTTTTGTGTTTGTGAATACGACAAAGATTTGACCTTTTTTTCTCCTCTTGTTTTTGAATTTTCTATTTTGGATTGTGTGAAGATGGATGGATGGATGGATGAATGGTTGGTTGGTTTGGATGGTCGATGGCGACGATTTTGTTTGTTGATAATAATAATGATGTTTGATGATCAATGATGTGTGTATGTTTTTGTATATGTAAACGCCCCATACATGCATACGCTCAACACGTTCTTTAAGGTCGTTTGTTCAGTTTCAATTCTTCAAGGGGTCATCATCATCATCATGATGATGATCATTGAATCTATCCATCCATCCATATATCTGAATTTTCTGCAATATAGTCTGGCTACTACTCCTCAATATATTATATATTTGATTAAAGTGATGATAGTTTCGGTTTCTCGCGCGTTTATTATTCAAAAAAAGTTTACTCATTTCTTATGTTGTTGTTGTTTCATTGGATTTGATTTTTTTCTCTTATATTTTTTTTTAACACGCATGACACTTATAATTCACATCATGATCAATTTTCGATACTTTATTATCACACATCAACTCGTGTTATAAACGGGAATTTATTCCCCAAAATACTGGGCACATAGAGTAGTGGCCAGGATCATGTTTAATGTTCCCATCACATTACCCACCACCACCACCTATATTTTCACTTTTTTCCCTATTCATTTCAAAATGATCGTTCAGTATGAACTCAGCTCGGGTGTTTAGTTTACGTTCTTGTGTGTTATGTCGATCTGTTGGATGCTTGAGGGGTCATTTCGATATGATGATGATGATGGTGGTGGTGTATACTTTCGACAATCTCGTGGATATTTTATTATTTTGATGATGATGATGATGATGTTTCGTAACAAAAATAGAGGAAAGTAGTGGGGGTTGTAATAATCGTAGTGGTGTAAATTTGATTTGTTTGAATGAATCAAATGTGTGTGTGTGTATAAAAAGATATGGGCGAATACATCTCATGATCCTCCCTTTTTTTATATATATCTTCTATATAATCTGATTGTTCATCATTGAATATTGCTGCTTCTTCTAATTTTTTTTCTGGTTTGGTTTGGTTTGTCCGTTTTTCATCATATAATCATCGTTGCTTGATGATGATAATACTTTTTCGGTTTGGTTGGTATTTGCTTGATAAATTCGTATATATTGTTGTTGTTGTTGTTGAACCTAAACTTGAATCGAATCAAATTGAATGAATGGAAAATGTTGAACTCTATGCCCGAATTGGATGTGAATGTATGGATGGATGGTTAGTAGTTTTCCTCTTTTGCTCTTCGTACTTCAAACACTTGCATATGGATAGTATATATTATACAACCAGCATTCATATTGGATTTTTTGGTTCAAAAGTCTGTATTTGTGTGTGAGCTTCATCCTCGAATGAATGAATGAATGGATGGTTGGTTGACGGCCTGGCTTCAGGCTGATTACGATTGGATTTTTCATCTATTCCTCTCCTCGGTCTATGTTTTGTTTGGTGTGTTGGCTTTTCTCTCTTTCTCAGGATGTTTGATTTTTTTCTGATCGTTTAATAACAATAATTACGGTGTTTTTTTTTTGATTCTATTTGATCCTTTTGTTTTTTGGATTTGGCTACTGAGAATCGGTGTGTGTGTGGGGTGTGTGATTATGATTTTTATTGGTTGTAATATTCTGTAAAAAATAAAAATGTAAAAACAACAGCAGCAAAAATGTGAGGGGAAATGTTTTTTTTGTTTGAAAAAAGAATTGAATGAGAGATTATCACGCCACGTCTTTTGTTTATGTGTTGTGATTATTAGTCCATTTGAAACGAAATAAAAATAGAATCCACCCTATCTCTGATCATCACCGATGTTAAAGGTCTGTATACATTTTTTGTTTTTATTCGTGCTTCATTTATCTTCTTTTTTGTTGTTTTCTATTAATCAATCAACATCTCTTTTTGATTTCCAAAATGTTTTCTAAATGATCATCATTATTATCAAAATATACAGTTAACAATCACGATGATAATGATGAAAACGTAACCATCATAATTACCATCTAAACAACGTCGACAACAATAATGGATCAATTCATCAAGTATTTTTGTGAATAAACGACGGATCAAAAATTTGATTGATTTTTGAATTAAATTATCATTCTAAAGGCAATTTCATTGAATGAAAAAAAAAATTGTAATGTTGTAGTTGTAGTTGTAGTTGTTGTTGTTGTTGTTGTTGTTGATATTATACTCATAGTAGTTGTAAATATAGTATATATCCATAGTCAATTGGGTCGATAAAAAATTTTTTGTGGACATTTTTTTAGGTTAAATTTTTTGTTGTTTACATCCAACATGGCAGCAACTTGATTTTGCTATTGCTGCCATGGATATATATAAGTGTACGACAGTTTGCTGCTGTTGCTGTCGTCTTAACGAATTGATTAAATTGTAAAATTTTTTTTTTTACCTAAAATTATATCATTCGATTCCTGAGATAATCATTTTTGCTTTGATTGTTAGTCTTGTATGGTTTTTTTTCTATATTAATTCTTGATTAATAATCTAACCAAAAAGCATGTCTGATTTTCTAATTGTTGATTCTTTTAATTTGCTTGTAATTGTTTGTTTACTAATCTTTTGTTTTTGTTGTTTTCCATTTCAGAATTATGCACATGAACATTGGTGGAGGTGGTGTTGGTGCCGATGGCACGGGCTGCCCCGCCGGAGGAGTAGGATCTGTATCCGTTTGTTCAGCCAAAATGGTATCAATATCCACCAATCACATTAGGCCAATTAATTCTTCATCACCTTCCTTATCATCATCAACCACTTACTTGCCATTATCGAAATCATCATCATTACCACCTTCGATTATTAATAATAATAATCTAGTAACAACACTGCCAAATAATACGACAACATTAATGACAACAAAATTTCATAAAATACAAGACCATGTGATTAATACCAATAATACTATTAAATCTTTGAATTCATGTATCAAAAAGCCATTACAACAGCAAGAGGATTTCCGTTTGATATCGACGAAAACTATGCCGCCCATAACAGCAGCATCAACAACAACAACGACGTTTGATCATTCCTATCATTCGATTGTTGTTCATAATAATAATAATAATAATGAAGAACATAATCAACATCGTACTGCCAGATCGCCTTCAAATTCCGAAACGTCATCGGCTATTTCAAGTTGTTGCGAAAGTTCTGATCATGATCAATGTTGTGACATGAATGAAACTGTAGCCGCATTATTACAATGTGATGAAGATGTTCGCGCACCTGATTCCCCAGATTCTGGTGTAAGCGGATCACTTGTCCATAGTCCTGATGGTAAAAGTCTATATGAAGAATCGGATGATTATTATCAATCGATATTTCCGACACCAGCAAAATCTCCTGTAGAAAATCAAGATACAATAACAGATACAACGACAAACACCGTGATCATTCCCCATTATGTTAGCGGTGATAAATGTGATTCATTGTTAGATTTGATTCAATTGAAAAATAATCGTCAGCAAACTACAGAAAAAATTGTTACCAATGATAAGGAACAAATGTACAGACTAATTGAAACGAATCATCAAGAGTCAGATAATGATAAATCAAAACATATCGAATCAACAACAAATGAGGAACAACAAAATATTCCGAATGATCTCAAAACAACAAATACTAATGTTGAAGATGTATTAAACCAAACTATTGTACTAGAGAACGACAATGATGTTAACGATGACGATGAAATTCTTCAATTTAGTAAAGAAATTGAAGCAGTTGTTCCAAATATTCGATTTGATGGATTAGATTTAGCTTTGCAAGCCATGTATTGTGATGCCGAACAGGATAAAACGACTGATGTTGATCAACAATCGACATACGGTATTGCTGGTGATGATGAACGTGACGAACAGACAGGCTTAATATCAAATGGCTTTGAATTTGGTTTCGATTTCCCTATGGACCAATCGACATCAAATTCCAATCATTGTCTGAACAAATCGGATTCATTTGCCGATTCATTTGAAATGTCGATACGAACGCAAGGTAACGCAACGACCGATATGCAAACAATGATAAAACAGATAAAAATGAAAGCTCAAAGTATTCATAAAAACAATAACGCCAGTATAGTTAAAAAACAACAAACATTCTGCTGCCAATGGCATGATTGTGATTGGCCAGGTAACTATGAAGATCTGGCTGAACATCTTCGCGAAATACATGTAGAATTACAACCATTTTTGGATTCTAATGGAAAAGTCATCAAATGGAATAAACGTCTCAAATCTTCATTTTTATCGGCCAAATTGAATAAAGATCATGATGAATCTGGTGCCAATTCAATGATGATGATGGATGATTTTGATGGATCATCTTCACAAGCCACCATGGATGATGAAACAAATCTAGATTCTGATGATGAAGATTGTTCGAATAGTTCAACAGAAGATGATAATCAATCATCGAAAATTTCATCAATTGCAACGCGACGACGATCTCGGCGTTTTCAAAGTGATTCTGGTTGTTCATCCATGATGACATCAGATAATTATCTGTCTTCATCACGTCGTTCATCAAAGAAAAATTCAATGAACGGTGATTCTAATCATGAAAAACTGGAAAAATTTGTTTGTTTATGGCGAGGTTGTAAGGTTTTCGGTAAACCATCATTATCTCGAAATTGGATCGAACGACACGTGCTTGAACAACATTCTGGTCCTAAACCATTTAAATGTATTGTTGATGGTTGTGGACAACGATTTCGAGCACAGAATCAATTGGAAAAACATGTTAACATGCATTTTAAGACAAATCCACCGCAACAACAATCGCTTTCGTCAGATCTCAAGCAAATTTCAACGATTAAAATGATTCCCCCATCACCATCATCATCGTTTCTATTGAATCCATCCTCTACATCATCATCATCATCATCATTAATAGAATCGAATCGACCAATAACGGATAGCTGTTGTAAATGTCAATGTCATTCGTTTTTATTTTCGAACCATAATAATTGTGATAATTTCGACATGTCTTCATTATCGAATCAGGACGATCAACAACAACATCAAACATCATCAAAACAAATTGACAAAACAAATCGAAGTCCCAGTGTTGATTCAGGTATTAGCCTTCAGTCATCGTGTTCATCATCCTCATCATTTTCAGATGTTGCCCAAATGTCTTCATTACCATCATCATCATCATCATCATTTACCCAACAACAATGTCTTTCAAATACAATTAATTCTAAACATTTTAACAATTTTGAATTTCACTGCCATACTGCATGTTGTTGTCTAACCAAACAACAGCAACAGCAATCATCCTCTACAACTTCCAAAATATCGTCATTGACATTATCAAAAACAAGCAAGAATAAAAAACCATTGTGTTCAGCAACGAAAGGTATTCGTATAACTAAGAAATAATTGAATTAGTGATTTATTTTTTTTCCATTTTTGTCAATTTAGTGAAAAGCGTTGCCAATACTGATTATCTGGACGATGAATTTGCATTGAAATTATCTTATGAATTTCGAACACGTGAAGCCTTAATGGCTGGCCTAAAAAGTTATCCACCATATAATCGTTATATTAGATCTTCAGATGGTTCTGTTGAAAGAATAACAAAAAATCAATCATTATCTTCAATTTTCAAACAGATGAATATACGATCAAAGTTGGATAAAAGAACTCCCACTAAAATCAATAACGCTGCCTCTAATAATAAATCATTTAATGATAGCCATGTTGGCGATAGGCCACAACAAAATGTACAAGGAGCTTCATCATCATCATCATCATATCACCAACGTTTGAAATATATAATGTATTCAAAAAAGAACTATTCGATTTGAATCGCCGAAAAGCAAATGTGCCTTTCGAAAGTGAAGTAATTTTCGTTCGAATTTAGATTATGAATTTTGATTATGGTAATATTTAAATTTTAATTTATAATTTTTTTTTCGTTTTGTTTCATCATTTATAAGGTGATTGCTTGCAAGACTAAATCGAATGGTGAATATTTTTACACACTAAAATGGCCAACAAGGCATAAACAAGACATGTATGTATTTGGTTTATGTTTGCTTGATTCGCTTTTAGTAACATATACGTATTTTTATCTATCAATCCTACATATAGTATGAATGTTGAGAATATACATGAAACAAAATTATCGATGTCTAGAAAAACATCTGTATCTACAGCAGCAGCGGCGGCGGCAATAAACTCTGGTCGTAATTCATATGCCATTTTTAAGCCAATTCATTATAAACAACAATCAAATGAAAAATTATTAAACCAAAGGAGACTGTCAAAACATTCAATTTCTAGGTTTAAGCTAAAATCGATTAATGATGAGTTTGAATCGTTTCCATTTGAGGATTCTATTATCATCGACGACGACAATGCTGATGATGATGATGATGATGATGATGATGATAATGATAATGATTCCGAAGCTTCAGAACCAGCCATTGATGATGATGATGATGATGATGATAATGATATCATAATGGAATTGAGTGAAAATGAAGATTCATCAAACGACGATAATAATAATAATTTAAAATCAATGACAAAAAAACGTAAATTAAGTTCAAATCAATATTGTAATGACCAACAAAATGAAGATTTAAAACATGAACAAATCAAACGGCCACGGCTCGCATCATCATCATCATCATCATCATCTTGACCATTTTTTTTTTTAATTGGTGCAAAATTTTTTGTAAAAAAAAATTTTTAATGTTTCAAAATGTATACAACACACACCTGAACGAATTTATTAGACATTACAAAATTATTATTAAACAATAATTTTTATATTCAATTGATCTCTGTTTTTCTTTTTCACTCACAATTATTATTATTATTATTATAGCCTCTCATTTATATTATTACAATTGATGATGATACAATTATTTTATACACACACACACACACACACACAAAAATTTCTGTTTATGAATTATTTATATTGTAACTACATTTTATATAGTCTATTTCTGGCTTTTATTTATGTCTCGAAAAAAAAACAAATACAATATGTATATGCAACCCTTTATACAAACTACATATAATTTTTGATCAATTAATTTTCAATCAATTTAAATTTGCATGAAGAGAATCAACATCATAGAACAAGACATGTAAATAATTGATGATCTGATGTTGAAATTGCATACTTGTTTTCATTGATTTGTATTCAATTACAACTGCATGTAATATTCACTTTTTTTTCCTGTTCATGTCAAATCTGTTCTTTTACAAATTTTTTTTTTTTTTGGGGATTTCTCACTCTCACCCCACACACACACACACATTGATAATGATAATGATATTGTCATCATCATCGTTATCGTTGTCGATAGCCAAGTTATGGACCACGTATATATATTATATGTTTAAAATGAATGAACAAAAATGATTTAATTAATTAACTAAAACATTTTTATAGCAATGTTTTCGCTAACTCTTTTTTTCTTTTCCTGTTTACAATTTCAACATCCTTCTTTTATCTTTATGAAATTACACATCTTATAAAAAAAAGAAAAAAAATTTGTGTTCAATTATTATTGATGAAAAATATTAAATTATTATTATGATTATTATTCAATCAAAAAAAAAAATTGTCATCAAAAAGTTTAATGAACTGAAATCCATCATTTTGTTGTTGTTGTCTGGGTCATTTTTTTCTGATAATTATAATCAAATTTCATTATAAACTATTCGACATTTGTATCACGTATTCATCGTCAACGAAAAAAAAAAAAAAAATATTTGTATCCGGTATTGAGAAATGAACGAAAACACCAATGTTGTTGATGATGTTGGTGGTTAGGAAAAATCATTCAAGATACTTGTTGTTGAAACACATCGTTTAAACGATATTCGTGATGTGTTATAGTTCTAAAAATATTTTATTATTGATATTGAACGCCATTTTCAATATTATTTCATATATATTAAATGATGATGGTTGGAATTTGGATTCGAATTTTTTTTTTCTATTATGACCGGCTCTGATGAGATGTGCGAGAAAAAAAATCCCATTTTTTTCACTCCTTTTCATAATTTTTTTTTGATCAAAAAAATATGAATTTTTCACACACACGCATACACATTTCACACGTTGAAATGGATTTCTATTTCACACTTGCATAGATATTGGTGCGCATCTATTACATGTGCTTATATCATCCAGAAAATTTAATTCAAAATGTTTGTTGTTTATCTACATAATAACCGGATCTTTGCTGATTATTTTGTGTATGTGTGTGAGTATGTGTGTGAGTGTTTGTTCATTAAAACAAATTGACGGTCCTATTTTTCATCATAAAAACCATTTAAACTATGACATTTATCGACAAAATATTAAATTTATTTTTTCAGACTATATCCGAATTGATGATATACAGTGGATGAATCAAGGAAAAAAATATTTGGGATGGGAACACACATTCAATGATAACGGGCTCGTGTAAATCAGCTATATAGCTAAAACACGCAACACAAACACATCGACAACCAAAAGCAACAAGTTTCATGATATATAATAATAATAATAATATAATCCTCATCATGATCTTAATCATCGTAATCATCATCATGGTTATAATTGCATTTGCAAATATTTTTCACTATTTTTTTCTTGTTCTCGACAAACATTTACTTATTTATTATTGCATTAGAAACAAGGACCAAACTGTCCACGAAAGACTAACGACGTTGATTATGGTGATGATGATGATGTTGATGATGATGATAAAGATGACGACAACCGGAACATGAACGAAATATATTTTTGTTCATGTTCATCAATTTTTTTTTCTTATTGACATATACACACGCAACCACATCGAATCTATTGATCAGTTAACAACAACAACAACAACAACATTAATGACAACAACTACTGTCTTGGAAAATTTCGAAAAAAAAACACGTTATACACGATAGATTTTTGTGTTTTTTTTTTTTTTTTGATTTGGTTTCGTGTAATAATAATACTCTCTAGTAGTAAATGGCCATAACATTTTTTTTTTTTTTTGTGGTTTCAAGATACATGCACATCGGTAAGGTAAACATAGCGGGGTTCGATCGTTTGCTGTTTGTGTTTTTTTTTCGATTGGTCAATCGAGAATCAATCAAATTTTTTTTTATCCAACCATTTGATTGATTAATTTATTTCGTTCAATGTTCAATGAACATGATTGAGTCTTTTTTAAAATTGATCAACATCATGATCATTCGCCATCTCTAACTTAAATCATCATTTATTTGGTTGTAAATTTTTTTTCTTTACAAAAAAAAAGTTTGTAGTATTATCGATGATGATGATAATGATGGTGATGATGATGATGATGATGATGAACCACAAACATTATCGATGGTAAGCAAAGAAAAAAGTGGTTTTTTTCAATAAAATAAAAACTAAGAAAAAAACCGGAAAAAGGATTTTTCCGTTGAAAATATTTTGAAACAAAAAAAAAAAAATCTTTTGCCCATCCATTCACTTCATTCATTTATTCGAATGATTCGCGATCCAAAAACGTTTTCGAGACTTGTTTTTTCTTGGAAAAGGATCATCTCTCTCTCTCTCTCTTTCTTGCTTTTCGATCATTTGTTTTTGAATATCCAAAACAAATGTGTGTGTGTGTGTGTGTGTGTGCATTAACTTGGTCTAAAATTTTTTTTAATTTTTAGCTGATTACGATGTCGATTACTATGATGATGATGATGATGATGATAAGGATGATGATTATAATGATGATGATGGCAACCACTTAAGAAATTGTCCATAAGCAAACAAATTCGAGGAAATTAATTTTCTAATTCCTACCATTGATTTTGTTCATCATCATCATTATTAATCAATTATCATTGAGGTCGATTCAATTCAATTCAATTCAATCATCATTATCTAATTAGATCAAATAATGATGATTTTATTGCATTTCATTCTAAACGAATACTATGTATTTATCGGGTACAAATCGAAACAATTTGACACACCAACCCATCTACTAGGGATTTATCATTTAAAGATTAGCACATCATCATCATCTTCATATCTGCTTTCATCTATCTATTCGAGATAAACTTTCCATTTCAATCATTAATAAATATTAAACAGTGACACTAACTCACTCACTCACTCGCTGTCCAAAACCTAAAAAAGGGGAAATTTTATTCAAATTTTTATTTCCATTTTTGTCCCACTTGACCGTTGATTTGTTGTTGTTGTTGAATGAAAAAAATTTTCAAATCGATTGATTTTCAAGTTCAATTCAAATACAACACAGACATTCACGGGATTTAGCCTCGAAAAAAAGCTTGTTTTTTCAAGCAAAAAAAAACAACAACAAATCCAAAAAAAGAATAAATTTTTTTTTTTTTTTTGGTTTGAAAAAAAAGAGAAAAAAATCTAGATTTTTAAACAATGTCCGCCCACCCACACACACACACACACGTGATGTTTATAAATTTATTGCACTCATCATCATTATTATCAAAAGATTTGATCCACATTACAAATAAAATCTTTCTATTCCAATTATCGATGGATAGATCAATCAATTGATCGATTTAATAGGCAAAAACAAATGATTATTGTGCAATTTTTTTTTGTTAAATCCGGATATCATCATTATTTTTCATTTTCAAGAAAAAAAAATCGTTATTTTTGCATATTTCGAATCATTTTTTTTTTGCGAAAAAAAATATCAATCTCTAAATTGTTTGTGTTGTCGCTGTTGTTGTTGTTGTTGTTGTTTCTATTTCTGGTTATTGCAGTTCAACAACAACAACAACAACAATAATAATGACGAAAAAATAACCGAACATTGTAATCATCATCATCATCATGGATCATCATTATGAATTCGAAACAAAACAAAACAGAAAAAAATCTAGCATTTTACAATCTAGAACGAATTGCGCCGAGGACACACACACATATTTTTTTATGTATTATTTGACGTTCATATAAATCTATTATTGGAGACGAATGAAAAAAAAGAAGACGAAAAATTTTTTTCTAAAAAAAAAAAAAAAAAAAAA